TGATGCAATTGTGAAAAACTCAGTGGCCCTGGTGTGATTCGAACCCACGCCAGCAAAAGTAAGGCTTAAGTACAGCCAACGCTCTAGATCTCTCAGTTGTTACACGAATGTTACTATTGTGGTCTCTGCTTCAGTCGCGGTATATAACATAGCCAAAAAACGGTCCATCATGAAGCGAAACACTTAACTTATCTGAACTTCCTCCCTCACCCAGTATCGGAGCTGAAAACGGGAGCATAATTAATGACATCCTCAGTACAACGGAAAAAAACCAATGACGCATGTCTGGGCGTGATTGTGACTGTGAGACTTTTCATGTAGGGACGATAGACTGCCAAGTGGATTGATTGAGTTCTCAGTTGCAGTCAGTCGCCGGTCGGTTTTTTTCTCAGGGAGAAGGTTGTGGTGACTGTCTTCGTGTCGACACAGTTTAAAGCCTGGTTCGATCCCAGTCTGTGGGCAGCGATGACTGAACACGTGTCCGCCTTTCGCCTACCACGTTCAATTAGTGGTTGTTTGAGTCCAGTCTTAGGTTGGCCAGGTCTAACTAAGCAAAAGGATTTTTACCGTGTATACTGCTAGCCAACCACCCTGCATAGAATCTCTGGTCGCATTGGTGCATAGACGCTCACTGATTGGTTAGGAGACTCATGTGTCCGATTCTGCCTTGGAGCTCACTCTGCAGTACCGACAGCACCCACTCAGCAGCCAGGACTTCTAATCCAGGGGTCAAGGTTTCGAGCCTCAGGTGATGCGCCACCTGGGGTTGGATATGACTGGCTGATATGACGAATAATAAGCTAGAAATTGCCATTTTCCGCAATGTTAATCAGTTTCTACTAATTCTAACATGAATTTGTGAATGACCGACATGGCCACTCACCGGCTGGAAGCCGGTGTATAATTATGGGCGGCGTGGCAGTCTTTCAAAAGCCCACCTTTATTTGACTGTGTCTACTTTGTGAGGGGACGAAGGTTAAACACGCGTCTGGAAGGGGATTAGAATGTGGGAACAAACGAAAACGATGTCAAGGCCACAACCGCCAGAGACAAACCTTAGTCAGTACGATATTTAGGCTCGGTCTCGAATAAAAAGCCTATATTGTATTCTGTACTTGCTCCCTAAACGGGCCGCATGGTAGATATGTCAAAGTGTTTGTGTCGGCAAAATGAAAATGTCCAAAATCTGAAGTCAGGGAAGACAGTGTAGGCTAGAATAGCCTTTACTGCGAGAAAATGAGCTTTACAAAGGCTCTGCCACGCGCTAGCAACCAGCTCTGTACTCCGGCAAGTTGTGGCAGTGTGGCGCTGCTGAGAAGCCTTGAATACGAGATGTGTATACTTGTCTGCGGCCAATCAAATGAAAAGGCGCGTTTCGATTGGTTTCGAGCTTAGGCCCGCCTCGAGCGGCAAGAGAAAGATAAACATGAGGTAAATTGAGAAGTCGTATTGGAAAATCATTGTTTCCAGTCATTCATCGTCAGGCCGGTACATTGACATGGAGAAGGAAAGTTCTTTTAGTTCTGTGCAAAACTTATATGGGCTATATTGACCGAACAACGAGAAGTGAACACATACCAGCCTGGCTAGGCAAACGGGAAAATCTATCGATTTCATGTTAAATCCTCGCACACCTAATCGATGCTAACCATCCAGTCGACGCGAGAGAGGCCTTTCAGGTCATATACCAGGCCCCAACAAGATACTCGAAAGGCCTACGCAAACGAGTGCTAACCACAGCCGAGGCAGTGGCAATCCGTTTAGCAAAACCCGCTTTCTGCTGCCAAAAGACGCTGGTATACGCAGTTTGCCTCCTCTGGCCGACAACAGGAGAGAATCACACCCCGCCCGAAGCCACAGAAAGAAGTCAAACACACGCCACGCGTCTGAACTACAGACCTCAAACCACCGCGCGCTACATTCCAACGTCCTCAACACGCTGATTCAGACATGCACGAGAAAATGGAACAACGCGAGGACTAAATATTTCCTACCACGATAAACTTATAATTGTTGCACAGGACTGACTGCTTCATTTTTCATGCCTGACGATAAATGACTGAAAACAAATGTTTGCCAAAACGACTTCTCAATCATAACAATGGAAATTTTCGCAGAACTGCGAGATAAATTGTCATGCGCGAACGCAGGTTTGTCAGGCGAAGGTGCGATATTTCAACGCGGGCTCCTACAGATACACCGAACCAACGCGGGGCTGGATGAGGACACTGTAGATGTTAGTGCTGGATGTCCCCCATGACAAATACTGCACATACAAGGTGTAATGGCACGCGTAGGTGAGGACTCACGCCACATCAGCCACCTGTGCCCTATCCAGCCTCCAGTCATTTTAAATCTTTCTTGACACTAGGTGCGGGAAGAGAAAAAGAGAGGGCTGTAGACGCAGTGTAACTATACTATCACTTAAAGGTAGTTCACGCACAAGTTACTGTCGCCGCGCGCCAGCATGCTGAGGAGCACACGAGTGGACCTCGTCGGATGCAACAAAGAAATTGCCGTACTCTGTACAGAGTGGTTGGAGCACAGCTTGGAGCAAGGTGGCAACCTAATGAAGACACACGTTCGACACTTCTATACGAAATTTATGGCGGGTTTCTAACAGCATCAGTTCTATGCAGGAGAACATTACCGCCAAAGATGAAAGAAACCGGAATGGCTATTTCTAGCTTGTTAGCCGTCATCAGGCAGCCGTGCCCAAACCAGGTGTTGCGCTACTGGAGGCTCTAAACGAAGGAATGGGTAAGGTGTGTGGAAAAGCTGCAAAAAACCCCACACATGAAGCAAAATAAAAATGGCCAAATAGAACTAGGGATTGGAAAATGATGCTTCGAGTTTAAAGACCGCCAGTAGAGAGGCTGGGTAGCGAGTCCTCAGTGGGCAAATATCCCAGTAAACTTATATTTGGAATCATGCTCCTTCTGATTGAAAGTGCATTTGGTTACCCACATCAATCAAAGTCGTAGGCATAGCCCACTTTGCCAAAAGAAGTGAATATGCGAGTTCAGGAAGCAGTTCAGAAGAAGAAGATGCGATCACTGGAACAAGAGTTTTTTTCTCCTGACGCTTCGGATTCTGTCGAGAATCCTTAATCATAGGTAATAGGAAGATAGTCTGAGCCATGCGCAGACAGGGGTGATACATACACAGATTGCACGGTATTTATAGTTCGTAGCAGTCATCCGCGTGCATACTATAATTATCCGCTCCTGTAGCCACCGCTTGGGGTCTTGATTGGTGCGGTGATGGTATGACACTTCGCGTTCGATTCATTAATTGCCGCGATTTCCTTGTCCATGTTTGATGTGAGCTGATCTAAATAACATGACAGTTAAAGTACTTCATTGAACTTTTGGACATAGATAAAGATGTTGAAGACTGCAGTGGCAAACAAATATTCCTATGTTTAGCTTAAAAAGTCCATTTGGCAAACAAATGTTTTCGGTAATTCATCATCTAGCCTGTAAAATTGCATGGATAATGAAAATAGTAGAGTTGGAGGGGAAGCGGGAAATTAGGATAGGCTGTGAGCATTGGTCAAGGGTCGAGTACGCGGAGTGAATATCACTGTCACGTGCATGGAGTAGACACCTATCACCAGGGTGTGATCGCCATCTGGCGTCGGTTTCGGCCACGGAAGTGATAGTGTCTGCATAATTCATTTATTTTTCGATGTTTTTTAAGAGGTTGAAGGGGTCTATTTAAACTGTGGAATATGCACAGTTGCAAACAATAGAGGCAAGAACAGTATGAAATTCGAATATTTGCATCATGCTTGACCGTCTCGCCATTAAGCAAGTGCATTTACGTGCACAGTTCACGCTGGAAATTCGAGTTTGGCAGCCTGTATCTCAAGTTAGAGTACGTAAAGATACACTTCCAGTGCCAGGTAGATGTGTAAGGTAAAATGGTTTCAACAACATCTTCTATGCCTTATTTATTCATACCATAGGTCAAGGGAGTGTCTTCAAGCATGCTGCATTGATGCCTTACCTATAACACTGCCGATAATACTAGCCGCTGTGTGGCTGCTGGCGCGCCTCGACAGTCAGCCCCAATGGCAGAACGAGACGAGTTAATCTCGTAATCGATCGGTTAGCGTTCATCCGTAAATGCTAATATTTCCTACCTAAATCGGCTGGGCAACAAACTTGTGGGGCAATGAGTTAGAATTTTGGGCTTCTAATCAAAAGATCGCAGGTTCTAGCCTCGCGTCTTGCACCACCTGCGGTTGAGTATGGCTGACCGATGAC